ACACATCACTGACTGCCGCTTCATTTCTTTGACATTCATTGTCCATGTGAAGGATACGCGTGAAGTGTGATCGGATCATGGAGGGTTTAAAGGACGATGGCGCGTCGTCTCCCTCCTGAAACACTATGGTAACAATGTCGTTTCCAATATGCCTCTTTCTCTCCACCTGCCACACACATAAAGAGAAAAGACAACACTTCAACATGATGTGGCAGCATGTTATTTAAAACGTGCACTGTTTTTTTCCTCTTCCACTTCATCTGTCGGTCGTTACCAACCCTGTTCAAAACAAACTACAGGAAGTTTGTTTGCTTAATTTTGTTACAGCGACAATGTTAAAACTGTAGATTCTTAGGTGAGTCAAAGTTTTGGGGGGTCATTTCACCATGATTGACATTTAGGTTTGCGGTAGTTTGCTTAAAATATTATATAATTAAGTCACACATTAAAGTGATAGTTCAGATCTTTTAAAGTGGAGTTCTGAGGAAAAGTTTTTAAAAAAGAATATCTTACCTGAAAACCTTCAATTTGGAGAAATACTGTTTTATTTTGACCGTACCGATGACCTAATGCGTAACTGCAGCCAATATAAGTAAAATCTCTTAAACATTATTGCAGTTAATAAAAACACTAATTTATATATTTTTACTCTGCCATTAATTTATTGCTACACTGGTATGATACTTGTGCTGGAAGTGCCCCAGTAGAAAATGTTACAATTAGCTGCTCCTGCTATTGGTGTTGTAAACAACCACAGAAATCTATATAAATAACTGTATAATATGACATTACAAATGCTCACAAAACAGCATTTGCATGATTAGCTATGAAGTTTTGGAGAACAGGGATGTTTCCAGACAGCAGCACTCCACTTTGGGCTTGGTCCAGTTAGTTAGTTTCATCTGGTCAGAATGAAAATTCATCTCTCTAAAGTGAAGCTATCTACAACAGGTAAGATAATAACTGTTCATAACCATTTCATAGAAACACTCTTCAAAAGATCTAAACTGTCTTGATAATTAAATTACATTATCTGTTTTAGTGTTTCCATTTACCAGTAAAACATAAAAGTAGAAAAAAAAATATATATCTATTATCGCTTTTTAAAAACGCCCAGTCCTTACAGAAAAAAAACGCAAGTTTCACATGTGCAAATATGTTAAACTAACATGTGACTAGTAGTGTCTGAAATATGTGGAAAATATGTTTGTGCATGTTTCCTGTGTGGATCATGAACAAAAATAAAATAAAATAAACCTGATGTGCAAAATTGAAGATTTTACTTGTAACACATGTTGCATCAACATGTAAAACATGTTTTGCTCATGATTTTTTGGTGATTTTGGAACATTTTCAACACGTTAATGTGACCCTTAGTGGTCATATGGTGTTACATGTAGGACTACATGTAAAAATAAAAAAGGTATTTTATTTATTTATTTTTTTTCTGTAAGGGAACTGAAATCATGTTTGGGCGACATATTAGCTTTGAAACCAGGCTCAGTGCATTTTGGGGATTTTAACATAAAAAAGAAACTAACTGTGTCAATAATTCAGTTGTGTAGAATATGATTTATGTTTTGGATTAATGTAATCTAAATTCTGTCAAAGCAAGTCAGGCCTTGATGAGGACTACAACTGCATTCAACATGGAAACTGCATCTACTGATCACTGGGAAACTTGTGAAATATTAAAAATAAAACATCTGAAAGACAGATGTGCAGGAGCTGAAAAACTCACGAGGTCTTTAGTTTTATTTATTTATTTATTATTATTATTAACTCATATTTTTGACAACATCAAAATGCTGGTGGGAAAGGTGAAACACCCACACCTGTACTGACGCCCCCATTTACCCCACTGGGCCCTTAAGCCCCACCATCTACTCCCAAACTGGTCTCTCTTGAATACGAGTTCTCATGTCTCAATGAGACTACCTATATAACTAAAGGGTAAATAAATAAAAATTCCAGAAATTAATTAAAATAATTAGTCAGAGGCAAAAACCAACTTAAACGAGACACAAACAAAAGGTAAAATGACCACAAAGACACAAAATGAAAACAATAAAAAGCAAAAAGAAATGTTTTTTTTTTCTACATTTCAAACAAACGAGAAGTGAAAAAATAGAGGTTCAGTGAGACTAATAAAGGTTGAATGAATGAAATACAAAACAACAAAAACAGAACATTAGATGGGACACAAAATATTCATAAAAGCGCAAACTGATAACAATTAGAGAAGATGGAAGCACAAACTGAACACACATTATTTTCTCTAAGTCAAACCAAAATATTCTGTGGGCCAAAAAGCTTTATCTGAAATTATTCCCAAAAAATATACATATGTTTATATATATATGCATACATTGCATGTATACAATATACTTATGCATGTATTTTATTTAAAAAAATGGTTCTAAAATGACATTTATAGCTTTTTGACCCATCAGAATGTTGTTGTTTAACAAACAATAAGCAGAGATAAATTAACGGCACAGCCTCCCAGATTAGACTGAACAAAGATGTTCAGAACATCTGCAGCTCTTCAGGTGAAGAAGAATCGTGCGACACCACAGCAGCTGCATGCAGGACGAGCACAGGCTGTTCCCTATTACTGACCGTCAGAGTGTCTGTTCTTTTAAAGAAATCCAATTATATGTCAGATCTGCAAAGCACCGGGTCTTTTACATCACAAATATTGGCTTGACAAAAAGAAAAAAGAAAAATGGAAGCAATATGTCTTTTTTTTTCTTCCCCTTCTTAAAGTGGCTGAATTTAGTCATCATTCTGTTCTGCGTCATCGTGACGTTGAAATAGTATCTTTTCCCTGCTAAATGGCAGAGATAAAGACTTTAATCCAAGACACATTTGGATCTCCTATCTACTTTAAAAACTAAGCCACGAATAAGCTGTGCAGAAACTACAGTTGTATATTTAGCAACTTAAATAAAACCTTCACTTTAGGTTTAACAATAGAATTCATAAGAGTGAATTAGAGTTTGATTGTGTGCACTTTGTGCTTTGTGGTGGTTTTAAAGAAAAGCATAAGTCATAGCAGTTCGAAATACGCTGGGTAAAAGAAAACAAAAATTGTTTTGATGTATAAATTATGAAGGGAGTGTCATGATTTGCAAAAGTTTTGGAAATATTAAACAGCTCAGAAGTGATGTGATCGAAAATCTGAACAATACAATCAATGCAAACTCATAAAATCAAAAACGGACCCAAAACATTCTAAAAGCTAAACTGTGATTTTACACAAACGATAAAAGGTTTTAAAAAAGTGAAGTGTTTGTTGTTAGCCCAAGGCTTTGTGACTCGTTTAATGTTTAAGTTATGCTTTTACTATGTAACAAGCTTTAAAAGGGGCTGGGTTTTTACAGTTTTTGCCAAAGTCCTTTTGTTGAGCAAGAGGAATTTTTATAATGAAACTTAGTCAACATCATATTCATTCAACCATTATTTATGCAGTGTAGTCTCATTGAGCCTCGAGGACTCATTTACAAGGGAGACCTGTTTTAACACAAAATGATGACAACAGTAGATAATCATAAAAGAAAGCATAAAAAACCCATAAAAAGGCATAAAAGACAAGTGAAAGAAAATGGTATTAAAATAAAACAAAAACAGCTACATTGTAAAGCGATGTAGCTGTAGCGATGTAGCGATGTAGAAAACTAAAAACAGGAACATATATTAGTTTTTGCCATGAACTTAGCAGATGTTTGAAGCCACTTAGAGAGGTCAAGGTCGAGAGCTTCAGTTCTTTTTGCAAGATATTCCAGGAAACAAGAGCGGAGTAGGAGAAGGTCCTTTTGCCTAGTTCAGTCCTCACAGAGGGAACACTGCAGGTAATAATGTTCTGAGAGCGCACGCTGTAGCTGCACTCACACAGAGACATGTAGGAAAAGATGCATGAAGGCAACAGCCCAAGGTTAACCAGTGAATACAGGGTGCAATGGTGGGTACGGTAGTTACACCCAGTTATGAATCTTAGTGCAACGTGATAGACAGCATCCAACATCTGCAGGGTGCTTGTAAGGGTGTTCATGTAAATAATGTCACAGTAGTCAATGGAGGGAAGGAAAGTCGCAGTTACAAGGTGTTTCCTAGCGTTCAGAGTTAGACAGAATCTATTTTTGAAAAAGAAACCCAATTTAACTTCCAGTTACCTTGCCAAGTTTTCGACATGGGTCTTGAAAGCGAGATGCAAATCAACCAAGATACCCAAATATTTGTAGGAATTGACAAACTCAATAGGAGCACAAATCGAAGATACAATCGCATCATTACCTACATTACCTATGTAGATTGTGAAGAGGGTGTGTTCTAAGAATGAGCCTTGTGGTACACCATTAATGGATCATTAATGGGTCATTATAATTGATCATTGCAAAAGGTCTTCATCATTTGAAGTTCTTTTTGTATAAGTTTTCCTAACATTACAGGAGGAATAGCAAACCAAAAAAATGTGATGGGAATATGGTACATAATATATATTTGCCCACTAGTAAAGGTGTTTTAATGCTTATGTCTTGATAAAAAATTGTAAAAACAAGACATTTCATTTGGGGGTCATTATTAACGAGAGGTGCTAAAGTGACAAAATCACAAAGATCTTCACAAGCTTTTGAGTATCATTAATGTTTCCTAGAAACAACTTTATGTCAATCACCCAATGGTGCAGCACCGTTTGTTGTTTTCAGTGTTTATATGCATAAAACCTACTGGGTTTAAAACACAGATTTGTAACCAGTACTGGACCGAGCCAACCTTATTAAATTTAAACTCATCTGGGTTGGGCTATCAGTTTGACGCAGTATGTTAGGGAAAATTTTCTCCCCAAAAATTGGCTTTAAATTACTAATTTTTTTAATTAGAAATACTATAAAGTTTATTTAAAAAGGGAAAACCCAAATCTGGTTTGTTAGATAATTACAACTTGTGTTTGGTGCCAACTAGCTGCAGCTATTTGTGTAGCTAGCACCAACTTTCTTATTTTTAGAATCCAAACTCGTTGTTTAGATTAGAAACTCAAAATTTTAACAAAACCAACCAGGAATTGTTTCTATACTATTATCCATAAATTTTATATCCTGAAGCATTGGTCCGATCAGGTCCCATTTGTCAACTTCTGGTTTAAAATGACCCGGCTCCACTTCAACCCAACCAATGGGTCAAACCTTATTTGGTCACACCAACCCAACCTGACCCAACAACTTTAACCAGCAGTTGAGTTATCAAATTAACCCAGTGGTTATTAGTGTGTATGTGTCATACAAAGAACACCTCAAGCTACTTACAGAAGTTGTACATAAAATGTAAAGAGGCACACACACCTGCTGCTTGTTGTCTTTAGAGTAAGGTAGCATGGTGGAAACGTGGAACATGAGCTCATGGCCTTGGTACACCGTGTAGATGGACTTAATTCCTGTAGTGTCATCTGAAGACACAAAGCATAAACAGAACAAAAACATAAAAAAACAACACATCTGAAGCCATTTCACCATGAAATGATGTTGATATGATGCAACAGAGAAGGTGGTGATCTTACTCTTGGTGTCCAGCCCTCCTCGATAACCTGCCCATCCCTGCAGTGTGATGGTGTCGCCCAGCAGAGAGAGAAACTTGTCAAAGCTCTCACTCCCCATCTCTACAACAAACAAACAAAAAACATCAATCAGCACAAAACGTCTGTCTGAGCATTAAAGAAATAGTTTCTAGCTTTGTGCAAAGTGTATTTCTTGTCTAAGTTAAAAGAAAACATCAGTCCTGATGTTCAACACAGGAATGATTGGCTTAGAATAACTTAAAATGAAAAAAAAAAGCAGGCTGGTTTTATCTACCTGATAACAAAATAGGCCCATAAAACCATATTTTCCACTACAATGACCCAGATTTAATAATTTGTAGAAATATTTGAGTATCCACAACCTACACTGGAGAAAATAGGGATTGGATGGAATTTAATGCTTCCCATTTCAGTTTTAAGGTTTCACATGTCAAACCAGAATAAAATATTTGTCTGCTTTTTCTTAATTATATACGGTATGCACAACAGCAAATAAATTCCATCTCTCAGACTATTACAGTGTGCCAATATTTATTTGTCAAAATGCATTATTAATGCGTGAAAATTCAGCTCACATCTGCTTCCATAGAAAATCAAAGAGATGGAGCATGCTGTGAATAAAACCCATTCATCATCTGATCATAATGACGCTGAGTAACAGCTGAAGTTTTAGTAGTTTGTTTGTTTACACAATGCCAAGACAGTAAGCCATCAGCAATAATCATAAAAAAGCAAATAGTGCTGCCCATCAAACTCAAAGGAGTCAAGAACTCACTTTCAAATGATTTTGGGGTTCATCAATACATTTTACTGAAGGTTCTTTACAAGTGTGAAACAGTCAAGATGGCCGCTGCTCACTCCGGGGGCCTCACGTACAAAGGGTGCATGTGCACAAAAACATGGTGTACGCCCTTTTCCACTCAAAACTTCAGATGTATCTCTAATGAAATGACGTGGAAATGTGTGCAGCACCATGCCAGCTTCATGGGTGTACATACGTTTCTATGCTTATTGGTCCATTGGTGACATTTAGAGGTGATACTGGGAAACTGTTAATGATGTGAAAACTATTATTGTACACATCGGACACACATGATGAACATGATACATCTAAATGTATGCAGTTAGATGAGTGTATAACAACCCATGTGCAAAGTTGTGCAGAAAAGACTTTAACAACAACGGCAGTAGCCTTATTAGATGATACAGCAAATGGTGCAATACGCAGAGAGAGCGTATTTAGAGACAGAAAGGGTTTTCTGGCCCACAACCATGACCGGCTCATCAACCATTTTAAGCTTCAAAGGGCAATCCTTTTGGAACTGTGCTTGGAATTGCGGCCAGTCTTTGAGCGCAACATATTGACGAGCTGCTTGTGCACATACAGCTGCTGACCCCACATCTGCTCACGTCTCTGCTCCTCATGCCATGTTTCTGTCCATCCTGCCATACTCCTGCCTTCATGCTATGTGTTCTCCTGTCCATGTCACCTGACCCCTCATGCCATAGTTTCTGCCTCTCATGCCATTCTGTTTCCCTGCTTTGTTTTGCCTATCACCCATCTCTCAGCTCAAACCTGCTCCTGTCACTCCATGCCACGCCTCCCATGCTCCTCCACAGCAATCAGCCCTGATTCCATGCACCTGTTATCTGCACTATTTAAGCTCCAGTCATTCACTTCCTTGTAGCCAAATTATTAAACCTTCCATGGTCCCTGATTTTGAAGCCATCATAGTTCCTGTTTCATGCCACAGCCTGGATTACTTTGTCTTGTTTCAACCTCCCCCCTGTCTTCTGGTTTCCTTGCCTTGTCTTTCCCTTGCCTGTTCTGGTCTCTACCTTCTGACCATGGTACTGATCCAGCTTATGATTATCACAAATACGCTTTTTGGATCATCCTTTGGATTTGGTTTCTGTTCCCTGCTTCGTTAGCTGGACCTTGCTCTTGAACTAGACCCCACGAACCACGTTCCGCAGCTGCTCTGCTCCACTGCCAGTGATGTCATCGCTGCCACACTGACAGTCGACACTCTTCCTTCAGCCTGTGAGAAACTTGATGCAGTTGATCCTGACTCCTCCATCCAGCAACCAGCAACTAATAAATAAAAACTGTTCTTGTTTTTGCACTCTTGTCTGGCTTATTAAGAATCCAAAACCTGAACGTGACACCCCAGGAGTTCATGTCCCATTAAAACCACCTTGAGCTTAGACCATGACCAAGAAAGTCCAAAAACTCAAAGCCTACAGGGTTGATTCAAGTTGTCATATATTAATATTAGTTCTAGAAAAATGTGAAAAGGATGGAACAAGTTTGTTATTATAGCTTTTCTGGAGAGTTACTTTTTCTTTACAAATAAAAATGGCAGGAATATGACAGGAAATTGCATCTAAACAAGCCACAAGCTTCTGGAACAACATCTTGTTTCTATTCCTGTTAGTTGAAGAGTTGTTACTCATCCAAGGCATGCTTTCAGTTCAAACTAAAAAAGTGCTGATTGGGTAGTAAAATATCTTCTAAGAAGAATATGAATTGCTTTAACACTGTGTCCTGGATGACAGGTGATGCTATGGGACCCCTCCCTGCACATTAGGTGTGCTCATGGACTTCTCTGTGCACCAAATATGGCTGAATTCAAATGTGTAGCCTGCATGTCTGACAGCTGAAGAGCAAAATAATGGACTATGCAACAAGACAATGAAGCAAATCTACAACCGAATAATGAAAGTCCATTCTGAAGATGATGGATGAAGTTATTGCTGGTGGAGGTCTTTCTAAAAGCTATTCAGGTCTTGTCTTGGTTGAATGTACTTAATATTACAAACTGCTTAGGACCAGCATGCTGCATAAACCTTTGGAACTGAAAGATGAACTTACACATGTTTTCATGAAACACCAACAAGAAACATGTTTTTTTGTGAACAAAGTCAAAGTAACATCAGCACATTTGTGTGTTGGATATCTTTGTATTCAAGATTTAAATGTCTGCACAAATAGTTGTATGTTTTATTATTATTTTTTTTTTTTTACAAGAAATCATTGAACCTAAACAGAGGGAGAAATAAGTTAAAGGTGCTTACCGTTGCTAAACATCTCATCGTCTGTGAGTTGCCCGTCTCTGGCAAACAGAACGCCAAATTTAAAGTTGACAGAACCCTATAATGTAATAAGGACGACAGGCAGTAAAGCAGTCAAAAAGGACATAAAATTTGCATTATAATACAAAAGATAAATAAAATAATATAAGGGCAGGCAAAAAGAGTGCATCCTTTTGCAAAGTATTCAGATTACCATAAATAATATTGATAAAATATACCTGTAATTAACAGTAAACAAGAAAAACAAAAAGATCAAACAAAACCTTTAAAATACTTGAAAATAATTCAGGATTGCTAAAAATAACATCTGAAAACCAAGAAAAACGGCACTTTATCTGATCGCACCTCTTGTTCCTCCAACACCAGCAGGTCCTAAGGGGAAAAATAAACAAAATTAAAAACCTGAATTATTCTCCCCAAGCAGAGTTGCAGCTACAGCTGACACAGCCCCAGGCCATTATATTTAGGTGCTGCTGATCAGGCTTAGCATGAAATGGACCTGTGCTCCATCTGAGCTGACGGATGCTCTGGTGTCATTCTCACCTTCTGAATGTCTGGATTGAGGATCTCCCTGGGGCCTTTCTCGAACCGGTCCATGTTCATCGCGCTGAAACCGAAGCAGGGAACGAAATATTGGAAGTAAAAGAGAAAAAGAGACCTTTAGATCTGATTGAAGCTAAACGGGCCAAACAGAGAAATCAGAGCTGATAGAAGAGATTTCTCATCGAGTTTGTTCCATTTGTGCTCATTTGAGTTGGAGCAGCGACGCCACTCAGCCGGAGGAATTTATAATCTCCAATCTCCTCTGTCATGCCTTATATTGTGTTCCTGGTCTCTCACGACATCTGCTAGTGGATACAGAATCTGCTGGGTGTAAGTAACCACATCCTTTATAATGCTAAGACAAAGTGCCGTTTGGGCGTAAACTACAGCATGAAACTAAAAACGTTGCTTGGTTTAAAAGTATTACAGAAACAATCATGCTGAATGCAGTTAGTTATGAAGGTTTCTATGTTTCTGCCAAAAATGATCAAATAATTCATACAATGAGAAGAGAAACAGCAGAATGAGGGAAGTGCTGGTACCTCACTGTGGGATCAAGTACAACAGCTGATTGTCCAGATGTTGAATCACAGCTATTAAACTCTGACGATGTTCTTAATTTATGAAGTAAAACAAGAACTAAACCTCTTCAGTAAGTTTTGTCAGTCAAAGATCAACCATGAGGAGTTTTAGCCCATTCCTTTGAACAGGAAATTATCTTGAAATAATCACATTCACCACTGTTGTTCAGTGAAACTTAGATATTTATAGTAAGTAATAAGGCTGTGAAAATGGAAGGTGAAAATTCTCACAAATAATCTTAGTTCAACCTTGTTTATAAAACCTGAACTCCTCACAACATTTTTTTTCTGCTAAATGTTCATAAACAGCTCTTTTCTCTGCAGTCCTAATGAATGTACAGGTGCTGGTCATAAAGTTAGAATATTATGAAAAAAGTTGATTTATTTCAGTAATTCTATTCAAAAAGTAAAACTTGTATATTATATTCATTAATTACACACAGGTTGATATATTTCAAACGTTTATTTCTTTTAATGCTGATGATTATAACTAACAACAGTATCTTAGAAAATTAAAATATTGTGAAAAGGATCAATATTGAAGAGATCTGGTGCCACACTCTAATCAGCTAATTAACTCAAAACACCTGCAAAGGCCTTTAAATGGTCTCAGTCTAGTTCTGTAGACTACACAATCGCAAGACTGCTCACTTGACAGTTGTCCAAAATTCAATCAATGACACTTTGCACAAGGAGGGCAAGACACAAAAGGTCATTGCTAAAGAGGCTGGCTGTTCATAGAGCTCTGTGTCCAAGCACATTAATAGAGCGACAAAGGGAAGGAAATGATGTGGTAGAAAAAAGTGTGCAATCAGTAGAGATTGCCACACACTGGAGAGGATTGTGAAGCAAAACCCATTCCAAAATGTGTGGGAGATTCACAAAGAGTGGACTGCAGCCAGTGTTTCAAGAACCACCACGCACAGATGTATGCAAGACATGAGTTTCAGCTGTCACATCCCTTGTGTAAAGCCACTATTGAACAAAAGACAGAGTCAGAAGCATCTCGCCTGGGACTGCTGCTGAGTGGTCCAAAGTAGGGCATTAACAGAGTACTCGAGTAATCTACACATCGATTGCTAGGACATCTATCGAGGTTAAAAATGTTATGTCGAGTATCCGTAGTGATGTCATATTATGTGACCACCGTATGACCGTAGGGGGCTGTGTTGCACTGTTGCAGGTCACAGAGTATGGTGTAACACCGGGTCCAATCCACCAGAACCAGAACCAGTTTCGGTTTAAGTTTCGTTTTTGACATGCTGCACGTTTCTTCACGTTTGCAGTTTAATAATAATAACTAATAGTTTAGTTTTTCCTGTGACTTATTTGCAGTATGATAAATGGTAGGAGCATAATATACGCTCCCAATGTGTTGTTGGTCTTTTTTTTGTAAATAATTACCTTTTCTTTGCGGTTTTATTTATTTATTAATTTTTTTATCTTTAGATCTATGAAGTCATCAAATACTCGAGTTCTACTCGGGTTTTATTATGTTAATGTCGAGTTTAAAAACTATATACTCGTTCAACACCTAATCCAAAGTTATGTTCTCTGATGAAAATAAATTTTGCATTTCCTTTGGAAATCAAGGCCCCAGAATCTGGAGGAAGAGATGAGAGGCACAGAATCCATATTGCTTGAGGTCCAATGTCAAGTTTCCACAGTCAGTGATGGTTTGGGGTGCCATGTCATCTGCTGGTGTTGGTCCACTGTGTTTTCTGAGGTTCAAGGTCAAGGCAGTCGTCTACCAGGAAATTTTAGAGGACTTCATGCTTCCTGCTGCTGGTCAACTTTATGGAGATGCAGATTTCATTATTCAACAGGACTTGGCACCTGCACACAGTGCCAAAGTTACCAGTACCTGCTTTAAGGACCATGATATCCCTGTTCTTAACTGGCCAGCAAACTCGCCTGACCATAACTCCATAGAAAATCTATGAGATATTGTGAAGAGGAAGATGCGATACACCAAACCCAACAATTCAGAAGAGCTGAAGGCCACTATCAGAGCAACCTGGACTCTCATAACTCCTGAGCAGTGCCACAGACTGATCCACTCCATGCCACACTGCATTGCTGCAGTAATCCAGTAAAAGGAGCTCCGACTAAGTATTGATGCTGTACATGCTCATACTTTTCATGTTCATACTTTAAAGTTGGCCAACATTTCTAAAAATCCTTTTTTATAATTGGTCTTAAGTAATATTCTAATTTCATGAGATACTGCATTTGGGGTTTTCATTAGTTGTCAGTTATAATTTACATCAACATTTAAATAAATAAACATTTGAACTATATCAGTCTGTGTGTAATGAATGAATATAATATACACGTTTCACTTTTTGAATGCAATTACTGAAATAAATCATTTTTTTCATGATATTCTAATTTTATGACCAGCACTTGGATGTTTATGCTTGACTTGAATGTTCCTCTTGAAAAAAGTCCTAATGTGTATGCATTTGTCACTTGCTACATTTTGACAGTTTTGTGATTGTAGTTTAGGGGACAAAAACAAAACAAGTGATATGCCAACACCCCCAGTCGCTGAGGAATTTGAATAGTGACTATTTTTGGGGATGAGTGCTTTTCTGGAGTGGATTTTGACATGGCAACCTTATTTTCAATAGGGACCTTTCTTACACCTAGATACAGCTACACACCGAAATGAAAGTTTGAACGTTGCTCATTTTTCAGTTTATCCAACTCACAAAATTTACATAAATATAATAATATATGTATGGTGGGAGCCATCTTGAATTTTGATGTGGCAACCCAATTTTTCAGGAAAATTATATAGCCTCACACCACAATGGGAGTGAACAGACTTTCATTTCTATTACGTCGCCTGGAATCAAGCTAACACTGAAGTGGCTGCTTGCACCTGCTAACTGTAGATTTTTATGACAAGAAACAGTCATAAGTTGTCTGCAACAGTGAAAACACCAGTCAGGTCGACATGAGTACTATCTAGAAACACTGTGCTTCAGTAGCACAGGTACCATATTTTTCACCGTATAAGTCTCACCTTTTTGCATATATTTGCAAGTCCTGCGACTTATACACTGAAGTGACTAATATACGTTTTCCCCCCGATATTTATAACCAAATTTTTGGCTGAAATCTGACGATTTCATTCATTCTGATATGAAAAATATTAAACATTACCATTTGCAGTCGCTAGAGGGCCCTTGAACATTATGGCAAGCCAAGTGTCTTGTTAATAGGTAAAAGTGGCTATTAATGAGACACTTGGCTTGCCATAGGAGCCACCTTCGTCTCGCTCCGGAACTCTTGGAGCAAACATCAAATCAGCTGCATTTAGCTGCACCGCCCAGGCGAAATGCATAACAAACACGATGTGTCAGCGGTGACACATAATAGACGTGACTTATATGGCAAAGCGACATATTAATGTTTTTTTCCACTTTATTAGACATATTTGGAGTGATGCAACTTATACGGCGGAGAGTATGGTAATGTTATTTTTCTAATTCACGTACTGGTTGAACGCAATTGTGCTTAAAGCTCCAGGCTGCATTTCTCACCTTAGGATGGACTTGACTGATAGTGTTTTGGTTGGGCTGTAGGGAAGGCTGATCTTCAAAGTGCCCTGAGCAAAACAAATAAATACAATTAAAGGACAAAAAACAGATCTGGGGTTAAAACCACCTGACGCTGTGAGCATCATTTGCATTGTATCTGAGTAACTGTTGTTTCATGCTGATTTTCAGTGCACATTAAGGAGCATCATTCATTGCTGCTCAGTAAATAAATTCAGGCCGCACACGCTTTCTTCAGTTAAGAGACAAAACAATTACAGACCGAGCCTGTTGAATGACAACAACAACACAAACATCCTGTACCAGTCAGAGCCTGACAGAAACAGGACAAATCAATGCGATCGTGCAGCGGAGGTGCACCGTACTAATCAGGTTCTAGACGAGGCTGGAGGCCAGAATTAAATCCAAGCTATCTTGGTCATGTAACTGAATCACTGAGCAGCAAACACACATTAATGAGCATGCATCTCACACACACACCTACACACACAGGGAGACTCAAATGAGGAGTAACACGGCCCATTAAGATAAAAGACTGAGCCTAGAAGAAAATATATTTTCAGGATCTATTGGTGTACGAGTGCTAAAAGTTTTTGTGGAGTCACTGATTTGGTAACTTTAAAATCAAAATATAAATCAAATGTGTTGACATGATCTTGAATTTGTAGGATGTTGTTGTCACTTTCTTTCCTGTTCTGAGTGCATCTTTCATTCTTTAGACAGCGTACTCACCGACTTCCTCCAGAGGATGGCTCTGTACTGAGGAACCCGCTGGTTGTTCTGGTCCGAGAGCACGACTGACAGGAAGAACGGGTTCTTCTCTGCATCTGTACCCACGTAGTTCTGGTGGACTGACGGACACACAAAAAAAGCATAGACAATATTAAATTATTAAATTATATATATATTTTTTAAAAATAAATGTAACATGTATTCTTTTTCATGCCCTTTTTTCATTATTGGCAGTATATTCGTTAAGATCTGTGAAACTCAACGAAGTGTCACACATTTACACTTTTTTTCTCTTTTGCTTAAAGTGAAATTCAGAAGAACTTCAAAAATAAAACTAGATGCTAAAAAAAAAATCACTGTAATGCACTTTAATTGGTGATATGACTTGTGTGCTGCTGATTATCTCATGCTGCTGTATTCATTCATACCCATATGCTCACCACAGACTCATGTTCAGGCTGCTGTTGCTATGCCATATTGTTTTACATTATTAGTGTTTAGTGTATATCTTAGATCTTTATAAA